CAAAAAAAAAAAAAAAAAAGCCTTATGGATAGCAAAGCCAAGGGGAGAGAAATACAGAGCTGCTGACCCCAGTCCCACCCCACGAGCAATGACTTCTGGAGCCCAGGCTGGGGGGCTCAGCCACTCATCCCCTAATGCTGCAGCACATTTCGATTCCTCTGAGGGAGAATTTGCAAGTCTGAGAGCCCTCGGCAGGGGGCTTTGGAATAAGAGATCTGTCCCGGCTCCATCCAGAATTCTTGGGGGACAGGGGGACCCTAAAACCAGAAAAACCCTAAAGACCGCAGGCCCAGATGACAAAGGAAGCCCCTCCAGTCCTTCCTCGCTGGTGTTGTGGGGCGCCTGGAGCAATGAAAGGGGCTCTGGTCGCGTTCTGTTAGAACCGCTTGTCAATAAAAAGATGTTAAAATCTGCCTTGTAAAAGCAACCCATGGAGAGCAGGGCACAAAGCGACACCAGGGGCAGGGAGCTCACGTCCGGTGGGTACGTCCGGTGGGGAAGGCAGGGGGTGGGCACGGGAGGGGAGGCGCTGCCGCAAGGCTCAGAAGTTGCTGAAAATCTCCCGCTTCTTGTTCCAGTCCATCTGCGGGGCCCTCTTGTTCACCCGCTTGGCGCGTGCCTTCTCCTTGGCCTCTGCTGCTGTTGGGCTCAGGTTCAGCCCACTCTCCTCGAATGGGTCCTTCTTCTCCGAGTCCCCCTCCTGCAGATAGACAGCAGACATGAGACCCTGCCTTGTCACTGCCCCAGGGGCAGCGCCCTCCCGACAGCGAGGGCCGGGACTGGCATGCATGGCATGGACCAGCCCGAGTGCTGCTAGCACATGTGCGTACGAGCGTGCATGCACACGCGCTTGGCGATGCTCCTGCTGGATGGACCTGTGGCTGCATGCATCTGCTGCCCTCCAGCCCCGCTCCTTGCAAGCAAAACCCTGCCGGGAGCTAGTGGAAGCGGGCACTCAGAGCAGAGGGGCGGCTCCATCTCCGTGCCACATTTACGAGTCCATTAGTCTTTTGGCTGCAGGTTTAATTATTGCATGAAAGAAAAACCCTAAAAATCACAGTGCTGCTCCTGGAGGCTGACAGGCAGAGCTGGATGGTGCACGAGCCCTGCAAGGCACGGCCCTGAGGACCAGCACTAGTTGAGTCAAGGCACTGGGCTGGATCTGCCCTGGCGTCAGAGCGGGCAAGGACCCCAGCCACTGGCCCCAGCCTCTGCTGATGGCCACATGCCCTTACAGCACAAACACTTGCAGGGTGACCATCTGTGCCTCTTTGCATGCTAAGAATGGCACCCTTCAACCTGTCTAATAAACGACCTTTCAGGAGAGATCCAAACCTTCCTTCGCCTGTTTGCTGGAGACAAACCGAGTGCCCTGGGCCCACAGCAACACCTCCCAAGCTTGCGATCTGCATTTCTCTCCTGTGCCCCTGCCCCAGGCCTCCAAGCAAAGCCCCACATCGCAGCCCTCTCCTTTCTGGAGCAGGCACGAGATCCCATGAAACCCCCTGGGAGCCATTCACGTGCAGGGCGAAGTGCCGCCTGCTTCCATCCAGGAAGACTGCGCACACCGACTGCAGATGCTTCCTCAGCTGGACCAAGGGTATTTATACCTAAAAGCTTGCTAAGAAGAATTTTTCCAACTATTTGGGTTGGTCTAATAACAAAATATCAGTTTTACCCAAAGAACCTGCTCTGCTCTGCTAAAGATGCATTAGTCTCCTGGAAGAGCTCTGAGGAGACGTTTGACTGCAGGCTTCAAATTGCATTGCTGCCTTTCCCTCTTCAGGCTGAGCCCCAAGATTATTTAAGTGGATCTCGGAGTCCATTGAACGGCACTGGCAAAGCAGCGTCACATAGTGCTACTCTGACTCATTTAGTTAGAAGCTGCTTTTAATGGGCCTGCTCTACAGGGAGCTCAATTTAAAGCTTCTGCTTCAGTATTCACATTTGCGTCGAGGAGGGTCGGTAAGAAAACCGCTTCCTGCGGGGAGCTGCTAGGTGATGTCCCAATGCTTGCAAGACCTGCGTGTTTCTATCACTACAAAAGCCTGAAGGTTTTTGCTGACGAGCTGGGTTTGGGGGCCCGGCTCTCCACTGCCTCGTGCAGCTAAGGGCACCGGTGCAAAGGCAGCGAGCGGCAGTAGCTGGTCTGAATGGCAGCATTGCCTGCTCGTGGGTGATGTAAGACCTTCCCCTGCGCTGCCACGGCTCCAGCCACCACTGTTGGCATCCACCTGTGGATGGCAACAGGTAGATGTGTCCCAGGCAGGGGCCTGGACGAGGCACCTGAATCCTGGTCATTATTTTTTGATGTGACTCATGGTGCTGGGCGTACAAATGAGAAGGGGGTGGGTGGTTTTCAGAGGACAGGGCTTGGCCCCGTCTGAAAATTTCCCTTCTTTATGGTGTTTTAAGTTGGAGGACAAAGATGGAAGCACCCAGAATCGAGGCACTTCCACCCTCTGGCCAACGTACGGCTTCATCCAGACAGAAGCGCGTCAGGCCACAGCAGGGCCAAAACGGACGTTTTGAGCATCTTTTGAAAGGGCCCTGACCTCTGACTCGCAGCAGTGGGTTTTAAAGGATGTTACTTCCTTCCCTCCCGGCCTCACTTCAGCCACGGGATCACCGTGGGCCTTTCATTCAGCTCGGGCATTGCTGCCAGTTATGGGCCATCGCTACAGCCTGGGGTTCCTGCGCCAGAGGAACGGGCCCGTGGGGGACGAACCAGGAGGTCCCGTCCAGCCCCTTGCTCCCATGAGCAGCCCTCTTCGGAGCTTGTTGAGCCGCAACCTAAAACCTTGCCAGGCTTTTTTTTGTTTTCCTTGTCCAAATAAAAAGTCCTACAGGGAAGCTACTAACAGCCCCTGGTCTGTTGCCTTGAAAGCTGCTCCTGCTCCCCTGCCTCGGTTTCTGCTCCCATCGATTCTGCCAATATACCGACACTTAAAGTCTCAAGCTTATAACGTCTCCTTTTATTCTGCCCCTTGTCACATCAGTACTGCTTCGTGCTACCAATTAGCCACTCCATAGCTCCTCCTCCACCTTTCACCTGCCCTGGGTGCAGACTGTGCCCAGCCCTTGGTGTCCCTGGCACACTAAGATAAGCCAGGGCGTAAGCTGTTTCACGCCTGGGGCTGAGCTCAGCGAACCAGCGACATCACAGTCATGCATTGGGATCCTTGCAAAGCTCGTCCGTATTAATGCAACATCTGCCGCTGCTGGCAGAGGCCCCGCAAAGCCAGCAAGCTTTCCTGCCCCCTGACAGAGCCTGGAAGGAATGCACAGTTTGGACTCCAGCGCGGGCAGCCAGCGGCTTGCTCGCAAGAGGCACAGAGGGTCCAAGTAATTCAAACCCCTCTCTATTCCTTTTAATCAAGCCCTGCACTGCACATCATAAAGAAGAAGAAGTTATAGGGAATGTTGTTGTCTTTAAGATTTCCCCACTTGCATTTGAATGCAGTTAAACTTCTTTGCATGGGTTTGGGGGGAGGTGTTATTTTGGGTTGAATGCTGTTAGGATTCGAGTCGTCTTTGCAGCCTGCATTTCCCCTTCACTTTTCAGCCCAAGGCATCCCGGAGCCCTTCAGAAACTAAGCCTAAAGGGGTGGCGGGTAGGTCTCAAGACAGCAGTTGTCTCCGAGCCGGACCCTGGCAGCCCCGCGTGATCATTCAGGGCTGCAAAGGGTCTCGGGGAATCCTGCGCTCCAACAGCTGGGCGAATGCAGAGTGGTGGGAGCGCTCATAGGCAGACGTGAACACGAACGCTGGCAATATAGCGTGTTTTTACCCAACGCGTGTGTGAAGCAAAGCAACAGAGCTTGATTTTTACCTCTGATTCCTTCCCAGGACTTTGGAGATCGCTGTGGGACGAAGATGTGGATCCTCCATTCAGCTGTGGGAAACAAAAGCGTTAATAGATATATTGCACAAGCGGGGAAGAAAAAATTGCTGCGCAGCCTCTTGCCTCACGGGGATGTGATCAGAGCCAATCCTGCCAGGTGGAGAATAACGTCTGGTTTGTCTAAGCACGTGGCTGGGCTGGCTGGAAACACAAAGCGGCTGGAGGGGGGGGTGCAAATCCAAGTGACAAAACAATTCAGATGTTTACTAGCAAATGGCAAATCCCTGAATGCAGGCCGGAGGGAGGCACCATCCAGCCATGCATCGCCGGCTTCAAGGGAGCTGCACCCATTTACGTCCAGCTGGACTTGGCCCTGCTTTCCCACTATTGTTTAGCAGAGGCTCGGGCTGCGGGAGTGCAATTCAATAGCCTGGAAGCCGGCCTCCTTTCAAAGCCACCTTGGAACTAAGGCGGCAGGAGAAGTCATTAAGTTTACTAGATGTTAGCTAATTGAAGCTAAATAAACCTCAGAGCCCTCCTTGAGGGAGGTACCGTCCCCCTTTCGAGAAAGGGGTCAGGATAGCCTCTCTTGCTGCATGGCAAGAGCCCAGGAGTCCTGAGCACACCTTCTCCCAAAACACAGTGAGCTGGCAAAGCTGGTCCTTTGATTTGTCTTTCAAAACAGCCAGAGCCTGAGCACAGCCTATCTGATCAGCAGAAGTACTCACCTGGGTTTGCGGAGACCCGTTGGTAATAGGCTGAGGCACACCACCTGCGGGCCAAGCAGAGACAAGGTGTAGTCAGCATGTCAGCGAGACCCACCCCAGAGCCCTTCCCACCTCAAAGGCTAATGGAGCCCCCTTTGCAGGATGTGGGGGTCACAGCATACCCCACGACTCACGCCCTCGCCTCTTCATCCCCTTGCATCTCTTCTATGGCAACTTTTTCTAACCCCTCCCCACAAAACTCATCATTCCATAAATCATTCGGGGCTAAAAGTAGATTAAAAAGAAAAAGCCCTCATCAGATCCAGCATCCTTACACAGTTCCAATGCAAAGTCTTCTTGCTCAAAACCAGACCCTGCTCCTCTCAGAAAACCCCCACGCCCAGCAATGTGCTTCACCACCTTTTGGTAGTTTTGTGCTAAAATGCGTGCACAGGGGGATGGTCCTGCTTTGAGCAGCAGGTTGGACTACGTGAGTTCCTGAGATCCTGCCGGCCCTCATTTTCTATGATTTCTATTCATTCCTTTCTGCACGTTTTCATCACAAATGTTGCCATTATCTCGCACTATTAGCAAATCCCTGTAAAGACAGTGATGATGATGCAGATGAGCTGCTAATCAACCAGGTCCAGCCTGGTGGAAAGGAAACTCGGGAGGGTGAAGACTCAGGCAGCAGTGGTGGGGACAACAGCTGGGCCAGCCTCGCCAGTCAGCATGCAATACATAATCTCCGGACATGCAGTTCATAATCTCCATGCAGGCTGGAAGCTTCTTGGGGCAGAAGGTATCCAAGTCGCCACATTTATGACTTGGATCAAGGCACTACATCAGCACGTCACATCAGGCCAGCACCTCGGGGCTTTCTGAACTGCTTTAAGGACCCAGGAGCCCAGCTTTCAGGACCCAACCACGTGTGCTGTCCAAAACGGGCTCTTCTTGCTGAATTGCAGTGAGTGGCAGCAACCCCAGAGGCAATTTCAAGCAAAAATCCCAAACCCAGGGTCAAGGTGGTGCCAGAGCCCTAACTTACAATGGTGGGATCCATCAACCAGATCTACCCACCTACCCCCCCGGCTTCAATCTCAGCAATGAGGGGGCCAGTGTTGAGTGAGAGCTCTCTAGTCACACAGCTTGCTGCGACGGCAGCTCTCGGCAATGCCAGCCACATCTCCTCGAACGCAAAACAAGGGCTTCATTATCACTCGCACCAAGCACGGGGTATCTCTCGTGCCATCTCCCGCTTGTTCCAGTTCTGAGCATCTGACACCGTCCTCCCCCCATGCGGCTCTCAGAATGCTTTGACCCGTTTTTTTTGGACAAATCTCTCCACTGAATACTTGAAAGAGCCAAGCAGTGACTTGAGCCAGAATTCAGCGTAGATAAGAAACAGCTGTGTTGAAAAACAGAGCTCTCCATTCAGCCAGCCAGCCAGGAGGAAAATATGTGTTTGGAGGAATGCAGCAATCTCTCCCCAGATGGGAGCCTGCAGGACTCTGGGTCAGATGGCAGATAGGCATCTCTCTTGGCCAATTTGCAATGGCAAGGATAATATTTATTACGGTCGTTATTGGGGCTGTCGCTGTCGCATGAAATCTCTTCCTTTGCTTCCCCCCAGTGCTTGCTCTCTGCGTGTGTATGTGTGTGTGCACGTGTGCACTCACAACCAGCCACGTGCTTTCTGCAGGCCGGAAGAAGGGAACAAATTGCACCGCTTGCCCTTTAGGGTCCACTACCAGACCTCTTAGGCAGCTCGAATCCTGCCCCAGGATGGAGCTGGGCTCCACTCTGCCCTCACCTCCCTGGCTTCCTTCGTGCACAGGGTAGTGATGTTTTTGGGAACACAGGAATCACCATGCTGGAGCAGGCCAGCACGATATCCTGCCCCAGATGGCACCTGATGCATCAGAGGAGGGTGTAGAAAGTCCCTGGACGTAGCTAGCTGTGAAAGCTTCTTCTGAACTGCAGAGAGGCCACATTCTGCTGGTGTCCTGAGCCAGGCAGACTGAGGTCTCTCTGTCTTAATTACCTGACATGCTGCTCATTCATCTCTCCAGAGTCCTATTCACCTCTTTGCCTCGTGGCAGGGAGTCTGCAGGTTAATTGTTCCTGCTGAGAAATACTGGAGGTGTGTGGGCACTCCAGCCATAAAAGCCTGACATCCTGAAAAAGCCAGTGGGACCTGCGGTCCCAAGTCACCTTATCAATCCCACCCAAAGCTAATGCAGCTGTGGGGGTCTCGCACTCACCTTTGATGTGCTCCTCCGTTGGGATGACGCCCAGTTTCTTGAAGTAGTCATCCGTTTCGGGATCCACCACAAGGAGCTTGGCTTCATTCTCCTTGGACTTGATGTGCGACACCACCTCCGAGTGCTTCATGCCTTCCACATTTATCCCGTTCACCTGCAAAGGAACAGCCGGGGGGTGAGGGCTTCTAGGTAAGACGCCGATCCACGTGAGCAGCCCTGCTCTCGCGGCACCGGGTCTGCGGACGCCTGGCTGCGGGAGAGCATCCCGGGGAGTTTGCAAGCCCCATGGTGCACAAAGCAAGCACCCATCTGTGAAATGCATCGTGCTTCCCAGAGCTTTAAACCCAATAGTTTCTTTGGGGCTGAGGCTGCTTCCCAGACCACCGGCCCGCAGGCACCCAGGCACAGGCTCCTCTCCCTTTCCCCAAGCAAGACGAGACTTTCCTTCCCATGTGCAAGGATCAAGAGGTTTCCCCCTCCCTATTCCTCAGCTCCGCTGGGCTTCCCACCTGTATCCTGAATGTGCTCGCTCCCCTGCTCAAGGAAGCAGGGACCTCAGATGCTGACCTTGAGTCTCCCACCAGCTAAGCTGCGCCCCATGGGCTCTTCCCATGTAGCTCCCAACAGGACCGTGAAGGTCTGAGATGGATAAAGTCCATCCGGCCACATCTCTTCTACACTCCCAGGGGCCACTGCAGCCCCTCAAAGCCTATTTTTACATCACTAAACAGCCTAAGCAATAAAACCCCCATTGCTTCCCTTCAGGAAGACCTCCACAGCCTCCGTGCTCCCGCTCTTCATAGTTTCATAGATTTAGGGTCGGAAGGGACCTAGTAGATCTTCTAGCCCAACCCCCCGCCAGGGCGGGAGAACAACAAAACCCCAAAACAAAAACGGGACTCAAATGAGTCCAGCCAGGTAGGCATCCAGCCTCTTCTTAAAGACCCCCAGGGTAGGGGCCAGCACCACTTCCCTTGGAAGTTGGTTCCAGCTCCTAGCCGCCCTAACTGTGAAGTAGTTTTTGCGGATGTCCAATCTATACCTCCTCTCCATCAACTTGTGCCCATTACTCCTTGTTATGCCAGCGGGCGCTAGGGGAAACAGCGTCTCCCCCAAACCCTTCTGGTCCCCCCTAGTGAGTCTATAGACGGTCACCAGGTCCCCCCTCAGCCTTCTCTTGTGGAGGCTGAATAGGTTCAGGTCCCGCAGTCTCTCACTGTAGGGTCTGCCCTGTTGTCCCCGGATCATGCGGGTGGCCCTCCTCTGGACCCTCTCCATATTGTCCACATCCCTCTTGAAATGGGGCGCACAGAACTGGACACAATACTCCAGCTGTGGCCTGACCAGCGTCGCGTAGAGGGGGAGGATCACCTCCTTGGCTCTACTCGAGATGCACCTGTGGATGCACGATAAGGTCCGGTTAGCCCTGCCAACCATGACCTCGCATTGTCGGCCCATGTTCATCTTGGAGGCAATAATGACTCCAAGATCTCTTTCTGCCTCCGTGCTCTCAAGTAGGGAGTTCCCCATTGTGTAAGTGTGCTGCTGGTTCCTACTGCCCTCTTGGCCTTCCCTTCCCAACACAAGCTGCTGCCTGGTCCTTGCCATCCGCAGGAGCTCTGGGAAGGTGGCACAGCTCCGGGTGGAAGGTGCCCGTAGCTTGCCCATGCTTAAAAATGTGATGCCAGCTTCATGTCAGGGGAAAGGAGTGATGATTTCCTCCCCAGCGAAACAGGGTGGCACCTCCGTGTCATAATACACGGTGCCGTGATGAATTGCTTTCCTTTGTGGGCTGCTAATTGCTGCCTATGAATGAACGCGATACCATTCTCTCTATTATTCCATGCAAAACAGAAGGAACGATTATCATTTCGAGGCATTGTTCTTGGTGCTGAGTGAATCCTCCATTGTCCTTGCTGAAAAGGTCTTGATACTGCAGTCACTCACTGCTTACTGGCACCGGGACCTTCACTTGTTCAACTCAATAACCTATTTTTAGCACTTTTTTCCCCATTGTGCTCTTCTTATTCACATCTAAAAATCCAAACCACTGATTCCTCGTCAGCTCTGCCCTTTGCTCCACAGATTTCACTGCAGATGTGTTGATTTAGTCAGAGCAGGAGTACAATAGATGCAGTCAATTATCCCATCATACTTGCGTTCCGGATACTGTTGGTAATGACATTGGTCCACGCTTCTAAAATAATTTAGCTCCTGTGTTTCAGTGAGTTCTGGAAGAACTCAGATATTAGTGACTTCGGAACGGCTATTCGTGCCCATAACTGGATTTCTTTTTAAAGATCTGGATATTTTTCTAGCCAACAATATCACAGCTGTACACGTATGATTGGGATCATTTAAATGTCAGGCTTCAGGGTATCAACTGATGGATTGCTTCAGTGGGGCAGGGAGGAATTTTCTAGCTTTACACTAGTTCAGATGCTCTGGTCTTCGCATAGGCAGACAAGGTTCTCTGGGTATATCTGATATCTGTTATTAGACCAACTAAAAGAGTTGGAAAAATTCTTCTTTGCAAGCTTTCTCTGCCTGAAGAAGGGTGTTTGTACCCAAAAGTTTGCAAAGAAGGATTTTTCCAACTATTTGAGTTGATCTAGTAAAAGGTATCGGATTTACCCAAAGAAACTTGTCTGCCCATATCCTTAGACCAACACGGCCACAACCAACAGCCCTGATCTTCGCATGGCCTTTCATATCCGGATTGCAACACCTTCTACAGCCAGTAACACAATGCGTCTTCTGCCTCCTCGGTGAGGCAGCAGGTACCATCTGCCACCTACAGAGCAGGAAACTGAGGCACAGAGGTGAGAAGTGACCTGGCAAGCATTGCACTCAGCATCAGTGGTGGAGCTGGGAACATGGTCAACGAGACCCGACCTGCAGCCATCTCCAGACCCCCTCCAGGGAGGCTGCATAGCTCCGAGTGGGGTTTTCCTGTCCTCTAAAGCTTCAAAGCCTTGCTCCCTGCAAAAAGCAGGACTCCAGACTAGACAGGTCAGGGTGGGCCTGGGATCCCCGTCCTTTCCCTGTGGCAGGGATGAGGAGCGTCCACCCACAGCGCCCTGGCATGTCTTGCTGCATCGCATGAGGGTCCTGCAAATGGGGCCGACCCCACCCAGGGCTGGGGGCAGAGATGCACCAAGGGCTGGGCAGCTCCACACAGCTGGATGCGGGGCCAGCGTTGAAGCTCAGCTTCCCCCTTGGCTTGCGGGGACATGGCCCATCTCTCCTAGCCTGCCGTGGAAGGCTGCGGCTAGTCCTGCGGGAACCCAAGCACAACCTGTAGCTGGAGGAAAAAGCAAATCCCTTGGGCTTTCTGCCTCAGCTCCATCTCCTAGCAACCCCAACTGCCCTCTTTCCCAAGCCACCATTGGGCACCGCGGTGCTCCGAGAGAGCGCCTGGCTTGCTAGCCATGGCTGCTTTCTCCGCTCGCCCTGCATTCAACAAACCCAGCGGGTAGCAGACAGGGAGGCGCGGGACGCGGGGGATTTGAAACAGGGGACCCTGCCAGCTTGGCCGTGCAGGACAAAGCCCAGAGCAGCTCCCTCCTGCCGGCCCTCGGACTCCGAGCTGGCCCCAGAGCTGTTTTGCATCAAATATTTATTTAAGTCCCGAACAGCCAGCGTGGCATCAGGTTTCTGCATTCTCCAGGTCGCCTCTTGCCTCTTTGTGTGAGCCGGGGGCTGTGCCAGGGACAGATAAATAAATGATCAAATGCTGCCGAGTGACATAACGCTCGGCCCCCAAGTGCTGCCCCTGCCGGCCCCCCCATGCATCAAACATCCAGCTGCCAAGAGCCAGCACGTTCAGGCCTGGCATGGGGCAGGTGGCAGGCGGGGGTCACTGCCGGCACACGCGCTGCCCTTCCAGCGGCATGTCGAGTCCTGGCCGCAGCATCCAACCCCCCCCCCTTTCCCCCCTCCCAACTGTGTGCCTTCCAGCCCATGCCCCTGGCTTACTCCATGCAGAGGCAGGCCCCAGCTCAGCAAAGCATGCAGGGAGCTCCCAGGGAAGTCAGGGGATTTATCTGCAAGAGTGGAGCTGGTCAACTGCTCTGCTGTGTTGGGATCTCCAATGCGCCTCTCCCTCCCTCACTCCTCCATTCCCAGGGCTTTGAAATGGTGCTTCCTCTCCTGGTAGGCAGCACAACAACGCTGCCGATCCCGAGAGCGCTGGCAAGCCTCCGCTCTTCTCCCTGGCCAGCGAGGCAGTGGCGTGCAATACAGCAGTGGCAGGGAGGATTTCAACAAACCCCCCGTGCGCTGTTCCAGCCCAGCACCACACATCCTGAGGTGCCACGGCAATGCACGCTGCTGCTGGTGTGTCTGCTGTGGGGCAACAGACAGGGCTCTTTACCTGCACAGCACCGAAGTGCCGTCAAGCCTGCGTGCGGCTTTGGAGGCTGCAATTATTATGCAGCCAAATTGCACAGGTTGCGCTGAAGGCCTGACGGGAGGGGAAGGTGGGTCTCCGTGAGCTTCAAGGGTTTCTGTTGTTCCCACCGGAGCATGCTTGTCGCGCCGCGAGGGGTGAGTTTTTACCGACCTCCCACACAATCCACAATTTCAGGTTTTGTGAGTTATTTGCAAGGCTGGTTGCTACGGTTCCCAATTCCTCTCCCATTCCCGTTAAGCAGCTAGCTGCCAAATGCCAACCCCAGAGGTGGTTGCATGTTAGTAGCGGCTAGTAGGCTAAACACAGGACACAATTCCTGTCCCCTGTTCCTGGCTGCTTTAAGCTTCACTTCACTCCTGCCATTAAGAACCACTGTAGAAATGGTCCCAAGCAGAAGGGATGGTGCTGGCCTGCTGCCCATCTCCTACCAAGTGCTTTCGGTTTTCGGGGGATGGAAGGGACCATGCGTGGTGTAGTGGGAAGTGCATACCAGGGCCATCCAACTGCTGAAATTTGCAGCTCCTTCCCAAGCTTGACAAAAAAGGGCCCACTCAAGTGCAGGGACCCCACAGGAAAGCTAGTGCCTCTGGGGCTGAGGGAAAGAAAACACCAGCGCTGAGGGAACAAAAGCCACATACCATCCCTTACCAGTCAGCTCTTGCAGGGCAATTAGACTGCAAGGGCCAGACGAAGGCTGTAGCTAACGAGGTCCCTTCGAATCGGCAGCAGTGATTAAGACTGGCTGATTAATCAGACGCGGCGTTGATCCATGGAGCAAGGCAGGGTCCCTCTGCAGGACTGCAAAACTTCTCATTGGGTGGCCCTGCCACAGGCTGCTAGGCCCTTTAAAGACCCAATTCATTGACCAGAGAGACCCCTCAAGAGCAGAGGAAAGGCCTTGCAGAAAGGCGATGGAGCAGGACTTGGAGTTCAGCCTCCAGCTCTGCTCTCAACCCGCTGCGTGCCCCTGGGCCGTGGCACCCACTTGCCCACGTATCAAACGGGGACACCACTGACGCTCCTTGGAGGACGACTGCGCTCGGGACATGCAGCACGCCGGGGAGCGGTTAGACGTGGAAGCTGGCGAGATCCCTTTCTGTCTGTGATCTGGTTCCTGATGAGCTGCTGTCACGGGTGCCAGCCAGCACAGAGAGCAATGCTACCAGCCCAGAAGCCCAGGCTGGCGGGCAGGGAGGTGTCAGCGCCGTTGGGGCACATGCGACACATGCCTTGGTGCAAGAACAAGGAAGCCCCAAGAGACGACAACACTTCCCATGGACCCCAGCCCACCAAGAAGCTGCCCAGCTCTTACCTCTATAAGCTTGTCCTGAGGCCGGAGTCCTGCTTTAGATGCTGGCGAATCTGGGTCCACGGAGCGGATGAACTGCCCGGGTCGGGACTTTTCGCTGTGCAGGTTGAAGCCATAGCCGTTGGGGCCTTTCTTCAGGTGGCAGAGGCGAGGGCGCGACTCCTTCGTTTGTCCGTTTACGTCCTGCCAAGAAGAACACACACGCTACCATGACAGGCTTGCAAAGGCTAGGGGTTATTTGGTTGTTGTGGGGTTGTTGTGTTTTTTAAAGTAGATGCAACAATAGAGACAAACACAGTAAGGAAACCACCTGAGGAACTGTCCTCCCTTCCCAGCCAGACGGGGCAGAGCGGCACATGGATTTCCTCTCATTGAGTCTATTTTAAAAAGCCAATTGTCCAAATCCATTCTGACAGCAGGACAAACCCATGCGTTTCCGCCACAACAACAGGCCAAATGAAACACGCCCTTTTGCTCGCAACCCCCTGACCAGGACCAAGCCAGGCGGGAGGGAACAAGAGGCCACGTGCAGAGCGCGGGGTCCAAGGGACAAGGCGGTTGCCACCATGAGAGATTTGAGGCAGTGTCCTGCCCTTGGTCCTCTGACACCAGTGGGCAGCACGTGGTGCCCAGGTCTTCCCTCTGCATAACTCCCATCCTGGGGAAGGATCCGAAGAAGCAGCTGGTCCACGCGCTGGGGCCAGACGACGATGACAAGCTACACGGTGGCGCGGGGACCTTGTCCAAAAAACTGAGGATACCAAATTGGGCCTCAAATGCTCTGAAAAGGGCCAGATAAGGAATATGGACCTCGGTGGGGCTCCAGGCCTAACGTGGAAAGGTCTTTGGAAGCAACCAGGGGCACTTGGCGGCTTCATTTCGGACGCTGGTGCAAGCCTCCCCCGGCTGTGCTGGGGAGTTTGACTGAGACCTGCTGCAAGGGCAGGGGCTGTGACTCGAGTGCACCCCCTTGCACGTGCTCCCTTTGCAGCTGGTGCTGGGGAAGCCTTTCTGCTGCAGGGAAGCAAGTGCCAAGCCTGCGATGGGGAAGCTGCCCAACAGCTCATGCGAAGGGGCACACCGGGGCAGGGAGGGATAGAGCCCCAGCTCCTAGAGGCCTGACTATCCCTGGCTCTGCAGCTGACTGCCCATCACTTAGCTATGCTGTGCCTCAGTTTCTCCAACTTCAAGAGGCACCTAACCCTCCCCTTGCTCAGAGAGGGTCTGGGGAGCACCGCACCATGGTACGTCTGCAAATACATCAAGGTTTGACTCGGGCAGAGGCACGCACAGCAACACCAGGTTTCAGGCAGGGACAATTTATGGTTTTATGTCCTGTAGCACGACCACAGTCAGGCCCTCAGTTTGGCCTGTTGCAAATAAAACAAACTATGGTCAGATAAAAAGTAAGTTGGGGGACCATGGTCTGGGGGGACTGAATTAGCATACAGAGGCTTTCTGTAACAGCATCACCCCTGCCCTAGGCCAGCCTGCAGCAGACACCGCAGCTTTGACCACATCTCCCACAAGATGGGAAAGAGAAAGCCCTGATTCAGGACGGGCAGTTGCCAAGCTGCAGAGAGGAAATCACAGGCTGGAAGGCCCCTCAAGACACCACCCAGGCCATTCCCCAGGGCTGAGACAGGATGCACAGAGCTGGACGATCCCCAGAAGAGACCTGGCAAATATATGCTTTACCTCCCAAAAAGGAGACTCTCCAACCTGCCTGGGAAGCCTCTTCTGACACTTCAATACCCTGACAGTTAGAAACTGCTGCAATTAAACCTATTCCTTCTCATCCCTCCCCAAAAGGACGTGGTGATTGCTGCCCCTGTTAAAACACCTCTTCCACGCTGAAAAACTTGTCTTGCCCCCGTCAGCCTTCTCCCTTCTGGACCCCCTCCCCCCAAATCACGTTCTCACACTTCTCACGGTTCTTGTTCTTCTGGACTCTCTCCAGTTTGTCTACATCCCTCCTAAAACATGGGACACAATACTTAATACTACTATATGTCACGGATAGTATCACAGTTACCTCCCATTTCTTTTGCACAACGCTGCGGTTAAAACAGCTTCCACTTTCTCTGCATCACCTGCGATTTGCCTTCCTTCCCTGTTGAGGCCTACAGTTTCCTTTGCCTTCCCCTCACTTCTCATGCATGTACAGAGCATCTCCAATTTGCCTACATCTTATTTAAGTGCAGTACCCAAAACTGGTTGTAGTCATTCCTGCCAAAGCATCATCAGCACCAATAAAGCAGTGTGATTGCTTCTCTTGTCTCATATCTCGCACTCTTAGTCATATGTTCAGGAACAAGATAAAAAACTAGGTGACTGTGGCATCGATGCCTACACAGTCAGATGGATTGCAGATTGGCTGAGGGGTCGCACTCAGAGGGTAGTGGTGGATGGGTCATATTCAACCTGGGGGGAGGTGGGTAGCGGAGTCCCCCAGGGCTCGGTCCTGGGGCCTGCGCTGTTCAATTTCTTCATCAGCGATCTGGATGATGGGGTGGAAAGTAACCTGTTTAAATTCGCTGATGACACCAAAATCTGGGGGGAGGTGAGCACGCTAGCAGGGAGGGAGAGATTGCAGAGGGATCTGGATAGGTTACAGGGGTGGGCTAACAGGAACAGGATGCGTTTTAACACGGACAAGTGCAGGGTGCTGCACTTGGGCAGTAGGAACCAGCAGCACACTTACACAATGGGGAACTCCTTACTCGAGAGCACGGAGGCAGAAAGGGATCTTGGAGTCATTATTGACTCCAAGATGAACATGGGCCGACAATGCGAGGTCATGGTTGGCAGGGCTAACCGGACCTTGTCGTGCATCCACAGGTGCATCTCGAGTAGAGCCAAGGAGGTGATCCTCCCCCTCTACGCGACGCTGGTCAGGCCACAGCTGGAGTATTGTGTCCAGTTCTGTGCGCCCCATTTCAAGAGGGATGTGGACAACATGGAGAGGGTCCAGAGGAGGGCCACCCGCATGATCCGGGGACAACAGGGCAGACCCTACAGTGAGAGACTGCGGGACCTGAACCTATTCAGCCTCCACAAGAGAAGGCTGAGGGGGGACCTGGTGACCGTCTATAAACTCACTAGGGGGGACCAGAAGGGTTTGGGGGAGACGCTGTTTCCCCTAGCGCCCGCTGGCATAACAAGGAGTAATGGGCACAAGTTGATGGAGAGGAGGTATAGATTGGACATCCACAAAAACTACTTCACAGTTAGGGCGGCTAGGAGCTGGAACCAACTTCCAAGGGAAGTGGTGCTGGCCCCTACCCTGGGGGTCTTTAAGAAGAGGCTGGATGCCTACCTGGCTGGACTCATTTGAGTCCCGTTTCTCTTTTTGGGGTTTTTTGTTGTTCTCCCGCCCTGGCGGGGGGTCGGGCTAGAAGATCTACTAGGTCCCTTCCGACCCTTAATCTATGAATCTATGAATCTAAGATTGGTCTTTTCACGCGGCATCACATTGTGGGCTCACGGTCTGTTCACCTTCCAGCCACAGCCACCGGTGCTCTCCCGCAGTACGGCTGGCTTGCCAGCAACCCCCAATTTGCATGCGTGCATGCCTTTTCCTTTTCCTAAATATAGGAAGACTTGGCTGAGTTTCCTCCAATGGACTGCAGTCTGTTTCTCTGATTTATCGAAACCGTTTTGAATTTGGAGCCTGTTCTCCACAATGTTCGTGAGACCCCTGCCAGCTTGCTGGTATTGCATGGCTCGTGTCTGTAGTCTCTAGTCCATCGTTAATAAAAGCCTTACATGGAGTTGGGTGTGGGACAACTGCCTGCAGCACCCACTGATGTGCTCTTCCAGTTCAACAAGCCATTAACAAGCGCATGCAAGGAGGTTGGTGGGAGAGGGTCAGGAGCCTCACTACAGCCAGGCTAGATCACATCTCCTGCTTTCCCCTCGTCCTCGAGGCCAATTATCATGTCAAACAAGGACATGGATTGGCCCCCCACCTTCTGTGCTTGACACATCCCCACTGGCTGACCGGCGGGTGATGGAGCCCACCCGCACGCCTGCATCGCAACAGCCGTGACGGGTAAAGCCAGCACCTGACTCCAGGCATTAAGCAAAGGCACGGAATCGTTTCACACAGGGGACCTCTACCACTGCATCCCCACGGCACGTTGCACTTATTTTCGTCCTGGCTAGCCGCGCCATGGGCAAGGGATGCAGCTTGTGTAGTAAACCTCCTGCAGCTGGCATCGGAGAGGAGCAAGTGCCAGGAGTGCAACAACAGCCCCATTCCCCTGCTCTGGGGGGGCTGAAGACTTCCCCCCCCTCCTTCTTTGCTGTCGTTTCTGTGTCTTAAGCCAGCCAGCCCCCCCCCCCCCCCCCC